GGTAGGTGAGGACCTGGAAACAGTCATTATTACGGAAGAGGTAGTGTTGGGCAAGCTAATGGAGCTAAGGATTGATAAGTCTCCTGGCCCTGATGGAATGCATCCCAGGGTACTAAAAGAGATGGCGGGAGAAATAGCAGGTGCACTGGCGGTAATTTTCCAAAATTCGCTGGACTCTGGGGCAGTCCCAGCAGATTGGAAAACAGCAAATGTGATGCCACTGTTTAAAAAGGGAAGTAGACAAAAAATGGGGAATTATAGACCAGTTAGCTTAACCTCTGTAATGGGGAAGATGCTTGAGTCTATTATCAAGGAAGAAATAGCAAGGCATCTTGATAGAAATTGTCCCGTAGAGTAGAGAGGATGTTTCCACTGGCAGGTGAAGCTAGGACAAGAAGGCATAGCCTCAAGATTAGAGGGAGCAGATTTAGGACTGAATTGACAAGGAACTTCTTCACCCAGAGGGTTGTTAATCTATGGAATTCCTTGCCCAGTGAAGTAGTTGACGCTACTACAGTAAACGTTTTTAAAGATAAAGTAGATAGTTTTTTGAACAATAAAGGAATTAAGGGATACGATGAGAACACGGGTAAGTGGATCTGAGTCCACAAAAAGATCAGCCATGATCTTATTGAATGGCGGAGCAGGCTCGAAGGGCCGGACAGCCTACTCCTGCTCCTACTTCTTATGTTCTCATAAGATCCCACATTCCTCACATCCACTTTCCTGCTCTTTCCCCATAACTCTTGATTTCCCAATGTTCAAGAATCTATCAGATCCCTTAATTACCCGGTCATTTATTGCATGCTGCTGTGCACACATCAGGTCCCATGTTACGTTACAAGCGACTTCCCAAATGAATTGGGGTTTCACTTGCAAAATAATCATCAGAAAGGATCGCACGGCAATGTGGTAATGACGCTGATATTGAGAAAATGATAAATATTGGCCAAGGATAACTTCTCTGTTCTTCATAGTACCACAGAATTTTTCACAGACTCACACAGTTTCATCTTAACATCCCACTGGAGAAACAGCACCTCTGACGGTGCAGGGTTGAGAGACACTTCATCGCAGCATCTGAAAGCCCTAAAGTGTGACTCAAACCCAGAATCGTGAGACTCTAAGCCATGGCTGAGACACATATGGATGCATGTCTAGTATACATATAAGCTCAGTGTCAAAACTGCCGAACCTCCCTCCTATCGTTTGAACTTCCGTTGCTACGCTGAATATTCCCAGTCACTTACCCTGCTTGCTCCTCGTTGAAATCAATCCTTGACATTGGATACTATGGTGCAGGATGAGGCCATTCAGCCCATCATGTCTGCACTGACTCTCCAAATGAGGATTCTGACCTAATGCCCATCTCCTGCCTTTTCCCTGTCCCTTGCACATTTTATTTGAAAAGAAGCAAATTTAGTTTCCAAAAGAATAACCATCTTGAATATCTCAACATAATCGCCAGAAACTGGATTACAGCTAATTAATGCTGCATTAGTAAGTGTAACCCCCTCCCATTAGATAGGGAGTGTTAGTAACTACACTTGTCCAACCCTTTTCCAATGGGGCAGAATCAAATATCAATCTTGTGGGAGAATCTAGGTCCAGGGGGCATAATCTCAGAATAAGAGGGTGTCCAAATTAAGACAGAGATGAGGAGGAATTTCTTCTCTCAGTGGGTCGTGAATCTCTAGAACTTTTTTAATGCGCTGGCCTATTAAGATTAGGTCATTAAGTATAATTAAGGCTGAGATAGACCAATTTTTAAACAGTAAGGGAATCAAGGGTTTTGGGAAAAGACAGGAAAGTAGATTGAGGATTATTGGATCAGCTACGATCTGATTGAATGGCAGAGCAGACTCGATGGACTGAATGGCATACTTCTGCTCTTACATCTCATGGTCTTAAAATCACACCATAGACATTCATCATGATGTCCTTGATGTTGCTCCCGGTGCCTCTATTTGTAAAAGCTAGGACCCCACATGATTTTTAATCACTTTCTTGACCTGTTCTTCCACCTTTAAGAACTTGTGCATAAAAGCATCTGCTCCTTTGGGCCTTTCAGAACCCGGACCGTGCAACGGTTAGTTTGCATTCGATTGGGAACTATTATAATGATACCAGTACCTGTACAGTACGACCTAACCCAGCCTGAGACTGCAAGCAAATCATTCAAGAGGGAGTTAGACCATAACCCAAAAAGGAAGAATGCGTGGGGGATACAGGGAGAAGACAACAGAATGGCACTAGGTGAATTTGGAGAGCGAATGCTGACATAGTAGGGTGAAAGACTGAATTGTCACACTATAACAAACTTGTGATTAGTTAAAGAAGGCACTTGGAATAATTGTAGGTCAGTGCTGAGCTAGTAACTGTACTACTATTTAGTTAAGAGCCACACTAACTAGACTCCTGGTTAGTTAATTTGTCTGCAGTTAACACACCGCAAGTCTCCACTATGCATTTTGAAGCATTTCAGTGAGTAAATAGTTCCATCGAGCCTAGTTATTTCTCAAGGATACCTACAGACGTTTTATATTATCATTTTATAACTAGAGATATAAATGAGAGGATTCTTAAAATAAACGCAGGTCAAAATTATCCAGTGGAAGATTGGAAAATTATCTCGACATTCTCCCCCACCCTCCCCCCACCCGTGAGTTAGTCAGTTCGTTAATTGCTGAACTGGTAGTGTGGCAGCTGGTATTGATAACCGAGAATAAACAGAATGCAGATTAAACACTGACACAGCATGAAATGCTAAGCTGCCCAGCTCTACACTCTTACCTGAACCAAGATGGCAAACCTGATTCAGGTGCTACGCATAACAACAGTATTTGTGAATTTATATAGTACCTTGAACACAGCTTTGTTTTAATTCATTCACAGGATGTTGATTCCCTGAGGGCAGTTGAGAGTCAACCACATTGCAATGGGCCTGGAGTCACATGTAAGGATGGCAGTTTCCTTCCCTAAAAGGCATTAGTGTACCAGATGGTTTTTTTTAATTAAAAAAACCAACAACAATCAGCTCTTAAATGCAGATTTTATTGAATTCAAATTCCACCATCCACCTGGCAGGATTTGAACCAAGATCCCAGAGTCTTGGGACTAATAATCTGGTGATAACATCGCTAAGCCATCACTAGCCCTCAGCAAATACTTCACAGCAGCTTTATGAAGCAAATGACGCACACAGCCTAACCACAGAAAACACCACCAAAACTGGTTATAGGTTTCCAGGAGCCCGTTAAAAGGAGGGAAAGCAGACTGGCTTAGGGAAGGGATTCTGAAGCTTTGGACCAAAACAGTCAATGGTGGGGCCTTTATAAAATTGAGAATGTTCATGAGATCAGAATTTGATGAGTGCAGATGTCTCAAAGGGTGTGGAACTGAGACAGTGAAGAAGGGAGGAGCATGGAGAGAAGTGACAATAAAAAAAGGGTGAGAATTTTTGAAACTGAAGCCCGGAACTGGTGTGGGTCAGTGAACCCTGGGTGAGTGGGACTTGGTTATAACTGAGACCACAACAGGACACCAGACTATCACGACAGTTACATTTGTTTTCCTGTTACTAACCCCCATATTATGTAGAAGCCAAGCAAAATCACCAGCCATAACCACCACCGCCCCCCCGCACTCCCCTCCTCTCACTTGCTGCTTTGTGGCAGCTCGCTGTGCACTGTTTGACGGCTGCATTCCACTGACTGCCGGGCGCAATGGGGACCGCAGTTCCACGCGGCGCTACATCAATGCAACTCTTCCCATTCACGATCTCTCGCTGCCGGATTGGAGCTTCAGCAACAGCCCGTTCTTCACCGTCCCTTCCCCCACCCCTGTGCCAAAGGCGAAGAAAAGGGACAGAACCCATGGTACCAGTTGCCAAAAGTCGCCCAGCTCATCCGAACAAATGGTGTTGTTGAGATTGACTTGAAACGGGAGGTGCTGCATTGTAAATGACCCTCCTAGAAACAAGCAGGAATATTGGATTTCAGGGACTGGCTCATCAGTTTCCTGGGGCTTCTGATGCCATATAGGCAAAACATGTCTTGTGCATTCATTTTTTTTTTGTTACAAAAGCTCATTGATCTGTTCAGGTGGTGATTCTGGGACTGAGGGGCAAAGGAATAGAGAACAGCACCTGCTGTAAACCACAAACACACACACACACCCAGGTCCTGCTGCTGTTGTATATAGAGAAAAAAAAACAAACGTGGGCAGCACAAAGTGGTAGCCTCCATAAAAACAAAGACAGCAGTCAATGAAGGGGAAGCCAAGCTCACTAATTTACCCTGTCTCCGTGTCAAAAAAGCTGCTTCACATCTAATGACAGCTCACGGTCTAGCCTCCATTTTTAAAACAACAGCTCCGAGGGGACACAGACACAATCCAAAACACACACAAGCAAAAAAAATCTGCAGCAAAGACTCCCCCTCCCCACCCCGCATCAACATAAGCTCCTTCTTACTCATTCCAGCAATCCCACCTGCCCCCTCCCCACTCCCTCTATGAAACCCTGGGGATATGGGGGTAGGGTGAAATCTGCAATTTCAAAATTGACACATTTCAAAACAAAAAGGAGACTATATTCTCAATCTTCACACCAGCTCATCCAGACTAGGACGACAAACTTAAAGCTGCACTTACCAAAAGCTGGTAAGCTTTGAGCAAAACGGGGGTGGGGGGTGGTTGGTTGGATGGATGGATGGATGGAGAAACACACACACAAGCAAATCTAATGTAAAAATGTCGACCCTCAGAAATAAGCTGCTAGATCAGACTGGGCCGATAAACAGGAAGAGGAGACTGGATCTTAAAGCCGAGTACAAAACTGCATGATAAAGACAGCTGGAGAGATGTCTGATTCCACCACCAACACAAGCTCTTTTGTTCAGACTGACTGGGGTAAGGCTACAATAGGACAGTGGAGCTGCCCAGGATTGTATCCAGGCTATCACTCCCATAGACGCCAGAACAGAGGATTGTGACTGTACCTGCAGTTTCATTTTCCAGCAGCTTTGCATTTGCGTTCCCGGAGTCTCAAATATTTCCTCCCTTCGTTATCACATTGTTTCTTTGTTGGGGTTTGGGGTCGGAGGGTGGGAGGGGGTGGTGTGGGGATGAGAGATGTCGATCGTTGACCCAGACCGACTGCCCTACATTTGTCAGCGAGAAGCCGGTAGAAAGCAGAAGCTGCCTGGGCTTGTTTCAAAACGCTGCTGTCAAACCCTTGTCATATTGAGCCCCCACGGTGCGCTCCCTTCCTCCAGCTGATTGCCAATGGAAGAGGCGAGAGTTATCAATTATTCAGGCCACTCCTACCATTCCCCTCCCTCCTCGATCTCACAAACCCTGCTGATTCTCTGCAGCAACAGAGAGAGAGAGAGAGCAAAAAAAAATGACATATTTCCTGTCCTTCAAACAGAGGAAGCTCAGCTTTGCTGCTGGCCACAATGCTCCAGTTTCTCTCTCTGTCTGTCTGCAGATTTTAACCCTGTCTAGCAGTTGCCAACTCTATAGCACCGGCCTGGAGTTTCCAGGAATGGAACGTTTCCTTTCTAGGATGTAGAAGCAATTCGAGACCGCCCAACCAGTCATAGAGCAGCACAGGAAAAGGCCGTTCGGTCCAACAAGTCTGTGCCAGTCGCCATCTATTCTGATCCCATTTTCCAGCACTTGGCCCATGGCCTTGTCATTGCACAAATCGTGATTAATGGTGTTCTGCAGGGACCACCGCTGTTTATGATATAAATAAATGGCTTGGATGAAAATGTAGATGGGTGGGTTAGTAAGTTTGCAGACAATACAAAGATCAGCAGAGTTGTGGATAGTGTAGAAGGTTGCCAAAAGACACAGCAGGATATAGATCAGTTGCAGATATGGGCGGAGAAATGGCAGATGGAGTTTAATCTGTGTGAGTTGCTGCACTTCGGGAGATCAAATGTTAAGGGAAAGTATACAGTTAATGGCAGGACCCTGAACAGCATTGATGTACAGAGGGATCTTGGGGTTCAAATCCATAGCTCCCTGAAAGTGGCCACACAAGTAGATAGGGTCGTAAAGAAGGCATATGGCATGCTTGCCTTTATTGGTTGGGGAATTGAGTACAAGAGTCAAGATATCATGTTGCAGCTTTATAAGACTTTGGTTAGGCTACATTTAACAGTATCGTGTTCAGTTCTGGTACCACATTACTAGAAGGGTGTGGAGACTTTGGAGAGGATGCAGAAAAGGTTTACTAAGATGCTGCTTGGATTAGAGGATACGAACTATAAGGAAAGGCTAGAAAAACTCAGGGTGTTTTCTCTGGAGTGGCAGACGCTGAGAGGAGACTTGGTAGAAATCTATTAACATTATGAGGTGCATGGGTAGGGCTGATGGTCAGAATCTTATTCCCAGAGTTGAAATGTCTAAGACTAGGGGGCATACATTTAAGGCGAGAGGGGAAAGTTCAAAGGAGATGTGAGGGGTAAGTTTTTTACACAGAGTTGTAGGAGTGTGGAATGTGCTGCCAGGGGTGGTGGTGGAGGTAGACATGATAGAGGCGTTTAAGCGGCTTTTAGATAAGTACATGAAAATGCAGGAAATGGAGGGATAAGGACTGTGGGCAGGCAGAAGGGATTAGTTTAATTTGGCATAACAAGGTGTAGAGCTGGATGAACACAGC